TGGTTCCCTCTTTTTTCCTGGTCTCTTTGGCCATGTTGATTGGTTGATTGGTTTTTGTCGGAGGCTAAGTTTTAATATCGCATATGGAACCGTATTAATTATCGGTACATGGAAATTAATTAAGTTGGAGCACACAGAGATGCAAATTTGCGTCGCGAATAATTGATAATGGTACTTATAGGTGGTTGGTAAATGAATCGTTCGAGGGGACTGTACATTCCATGCGTCGAACGAAAGACCTCGTTTAAAAGTTAGTTAAAGGGTCGAATATGCACGGAGTTTTTTCTCTCTTTCTTTTCATCTCAACTCGAAGGGAAAGTATAATTAGTATTTAACTATTGCAACGAAGCGAGAACAGTAGCTGTATAGAGACAAACGTTAAGGTACGAAATTTTACTTTTCGATAGATTGCGAGACGTCTGACTAGGAACGGACTCGAACTACTTTCTCGCACTAGAACAAGAAGACGAAAGTATAACGAGGCTTACGGTAACATGGTCAAAGTTAAACCTTTGGTAAATCTTATACGAGTGATTTCGCCGCAATTCGCTCAAAATCATTATTACAATCGCGATTACGATCGAATCGTTAGTTCTAAACGCGGTTGAGTTTGAAGTACCAAACTTGGAACTGTCGAACGATTTCAGAAGTAAAAATTCAAGTTATATCTTTTGTTGAAGCTACGCGAAAGGCTGGTCTCGAACGAAATTCGCAGAATCTCCGCTCCGGAATAACTTCTCTACCGGCAAACAAAATAAACGTGTCTCGCCGAAAGAAATGCTCAAGGATTAAGCCATTCGTCCCCGACGATTGTCTGACGGTCTCGTCCACGTCCACGGCAGTGTAGACTGCGCATCGCGATCGAGGCTTATTCAGAATTTAATCTACGCGAGGTATCTGCGCGTTGGCGACGAGAGAGTCGCGCGAGTCCGCTCGAACAGGCTCGTAGAGACGATCGAATCGGTCACGTCGCTGCTTCCCAGCGGCGCGATGCGTGAGCCACGATGACCTTTGTCCCAAAGCTTTGGCGAAACGCGGCCAGATTGCACGCTCTTTCGTGCTATACCGCCGCTGCACGTGCACGTGTACACCCCCGTTCAGAACTGGTAAAGTTGCAACAGTTCGAGACGATACGTGAATTTATTTCTGCTGGATGGTGCCCGGCCTTGGAAATTAGTTCATCCTTTGTTCTGTATATACAGGGTGTAACGGAACACGTGTGGCCCACTTCGCGCGTTGATCGTGCATCTAAAAACAATGAGAAAAGTTCGTGTAAACGTATGTTCCATCTGTCTTCGTTTATGAAATGTAACGAATCCACTGTGTACGTAACATCTACCGCAACAGGTTGAAGCGTTAGGATTCGGAATAGAAGAAGCTTTTCAACAAAATCGGCAAAAGCAAACATCTATTCAGAGTGTAACCGGATCCGTGACAAGACGTCTACTGGCTTGCCTTGAAATGCGAGGTAACCAAAGCTTCGGACCAAGCAACGTCACTCTGCGTTTCTACGAATTTCGTTCTACAAAATTGAATCGTACAGAATTCTCTTACGAAGGAAATGGATGACAATGATGGACGATGAATGGCATAACGATATATTAACTCTGATCGGAAAACAGGATCGACGAATTTGCGTTGAAAGCGAAATATCCTGCCCTATCTCTTGCAGCTAATTCTCGCAACTTCTTCTACGATACGTTGCCATAAATTCATATGTTTTTTTACCTTGCCTGAGCATAAATTTCTGGTCGATTAATCCTTTCGATGATAATCTAGATTAATCGCCACGTTTCGTGTAAGATCAGCGGGTGTCCCTATACTTATGAACCAGGCTGTACGTGTTTCCGTCTTTTTGCACGTACGGCGTCGATTCAACGCAACGGATCTGTCGACGATGCTCGATGTTCCCATTTCGCGGTGTTGACGGCTTCCTAAAGTCAGTCGAACACGTATTATTAGCCACGTTACGTAAAGACATCTCGCGAGATGCGACCTTTTGCGCGACACGTGCGGCACGAAAGTGCGATTTCGATCTGCGAGAGGCAATAAAGACGCGATCGTAAACCGATTTCGATTGCGTTGATGCCGATGGAATCGGTTCCGTGAAATTGCCTGTCTGTTTGTTCAGTGCGTGGAACGAAGTTGCTTGAAGAGTTATATGGACTAGGTTCGAAGGGCGAGTACGTTCAAGTCGACGATAGTCGTATAATCTGGAATAAGTTCGATCGAATGGCGATCGTAATATCGTAGTTGCGAAACACCGCGTGCTATTAGGTTCCGTGATTTCCTTCGAAAGATGGTTACGTTTCTATTTCTGGAATATTATTTTTTCCGTAATGAAGAATTCTATGAACTCGACCGCTTTATTGCTACTTTCCTCTTATTATCATTGCACGACCAAATTATCACACAAGCAGTCCATTCGTTAAACGTTCGTTGAACCTTCTATTCTTCTAAATAGTCGTCAGGCGTCGATTCTGTCGACAACGATCGTGCCATCGTATTCTTCGACGTGAAACAAAATTCTCTAGAAACTAAGAAAAAGCAGCAACAACGCACGCACTACGTAAGCTGCGATCTATTCGTTTTCAGAGTTCGTTGGAGAGATGCAACGGGAATTGATTGACTCGTCGATTGGTAATTCGGCTGGTTCGTAAACGAAATAGAATCAGTCGGGGAAACGAGGATGCGGTGTGTTGTGCGTGCACGGTAATTGGACACGTTCGTCCGCGTAACGTGGAATTCTTGTTGCGTTCGAGGCAGCCGGTTGGCTGATGGTCCCGATGCAGGGGTCATGGTTCAGAGGTCCGATGCGGGTCTTCCGCACACATCCATATTAAGTGGCTCGCTTTTATGCGCGCGGCTGGACACTGAAACGCTCTTAAAACCAGCGGATACAGAGGCTCGATCGCTGCGAAAATATCGCGTTCCTTCGCCACGATTCTTTTACGTAGTATGTTTCACTCTTGGACTCTCTGTATGTTAGATCGGCGAATACTAAATGTTGTTTTCGCAAATGAAACTTCGTACGTGATTCAATTGAATTTTTCCAGCGATTCCATTTTATTCAAGATTTATAGTATAAACAGTTTGGTATACATTTTGCATTATAAATTTTGAATCTATTAAGAACGAATGTCATTATGGCGGTGGCTTCTGTGAACTTTAATTCGCATTTAGACTTCAGCTGAATCGATAAAAGTTTAATATTTTAAGAAGGAAATATTGTAGAAATCCATTGTATTCTAATACTCCGATACTTGACGCGTATTACGTAGTACTCGATACTTTCTTCTATCATTGACGTGATAAAATAAAATTACAGCATTTTTTATACGCCACGTGTGAAATGATGAAAATACCAATAAAAAAAAAAGAAGGTGGGAAGAAAGTTACTGCGCAAAAAGTATACTGGGATTTCAAAGAGCAAAGCTTTGATAGAAATTATTCATCGAGAAATAAGCGGACGAGAGAGCATTACAATCATATGTACGTCTGCGAGTATGATTCGTGATCCAGTGTTCCGTATCCCCGTCCAGGAAAAATGCAGAATAAGCAGAAAGCTCGGGCTTCTCACAGAGGAAACAGAGATCACGTTTCGCCATTTTTCCAGAAGCGAGGAATCTCACGGTGAGCGGTCACTTGGAAAAAAGAAATGCAGTCACGAAGAGAAGAAGAAACTCGACTGTATCCTCACTTAGCTTGCCATATTTAACTCTTTCGCCAGAGATACACATCCGCCCTTTACATCTATAGATTCCTATCGCGGTTTACGTAACATTCATGCACAATACCACAGAATTCATTCCTTGCGTGAATTAAAATTCATTACAAAAATTATCACATCACCTTTTTAATTAGAAAGGTAGTGTGTCAGGAAACAGGATACCGGGCATGACCAGCGTAAACATGGTAATTTCCTCTTTTAATGTAACAGTTACCGAAGAAAAATATGTTACTTAGACACGCTATTAATTTTTATAACATCACATATTCGTATTATTACACGATATCTGCTTCCTCGTCGAAGCAAGGCGGATGCTTTACAACGAGATTGAATCGTAAGAATAACCACGTTTCTCGATGCATCTATTTCTCAAAGGCACTCCCTGAATTCTTCAAAAATGTAAATCGTAATTTACGAAACACTCTACGTAGAAATTACATCTACGAACGTTTTATAAAATCAAACAGTTCGAAAGCACAGAAACTTCTCTACGTTTTCTTCTATCTATTGGATCGGCATCTAAGCGATTGCGAGTTTTGTCAATAACATCTAATGACAAAATCCGCAATCGCTTAGTTTCCAGCCCAATAGAACGAAGAGGAAGAAACACGAGCGCATAAAAATGGAAGAAGTCTTGATATACACACGTATATGTATTATCACATTGAGAATTATATTCTACGTTCGGATTATTTGCAACGCTATCAACAGATTCAACGATATTCTCGTTAGCCGTAATTCAATGTATTGTCTATTTTTAACACAAGTTCCATCGCACCTGATAGTTACTATATAACGATCTTAAAAGCATATACTCTTTTCATAGCGTGTACTAAAGATACAGCAAAGATTTATTTTTACTACTCTATCTTAACTACTATGCACAGCTGTTGTGTACTTTACCGCATGTATACGCTATATAGTAAAGATTCCTCGATCAAAAGATGATTCCCACGGAAACGTGCCATCCGTAATACAGCAAAGAAAGAAAAGAAGAGGGAGGAAGAGATGGCGACGCGTCTGGCGGCGTCGAAACGGCACAGAAGAAGCCGCGGAGAGATGTGCACGCGGAGGAAGAAAGAACAGCTGGGAGAGGGGAGGCAGGGTCGGCCGGGTCGGAGGGATCGAGAGGGTCATGGGTCACGGGTCGTACGGCATAGCCCTGACCTTCGACCTTATCCCCTTCCAGCTCTTCTCGAGACCCCGTGCAGACCCCTACCAGTCGTACCTAGAACTCGCTTCTACTTCGTGTTCGACTCCGCTTCGGGTCTCGCGGTGTACCCGCGGTGTCGTCTTGCGTTTCTTCCAAAAAATTCCTATCGTTGTTTCTAATCGGTGTGCCCGATGATATCAACTTAAATATAAAAAGAAAAAGAAAAGAAAAAAAAAAAACGGAGTGCAACAAAGTGGCAATAAAAATTTCGTTCCTGTGAAATGTGATTACAGACCTTGACACAGTTTAGCGAGGATAGCAGTTTAACGACGCGCAAGTTTGGCATCGTTTATGTTTTGGTAGCAGTAGATTAGCGAGTGTGCAAGTGCATCTGGTGCAGACGCATGCAGCGGCGTGCAACGTGGCCTCGTGACACGGTGTAACGACGCATTGATTCGATCTTTACAACGGCCGGCCACGCTGATGGAGCCTGTTGTTCGTGGCGTGTGACCGCGTCCGCTCGGCTACGCGCCTCCGACTGCCTCGCTTCTTTGTGTCACGCGACCTCAGCTCGGCCGGATGGTGAATTGATTTTACTCGTCCACTGTTTCTGGATAGACGAGCGCGTGGAAAGGCAATATGGGAATGTGTTTGATAAGAGTGGGGATTATGTAGATTGATAGGCAGATTGGCGCAATGGAATACGTAATATTGTCTCGATGTGTTTCTTCGCGGTTTGGTGACATTTTATCGCAACTGGTTCGTAGTCAATAAACTACTTTCAAAGGTCGTTCGTAATTTGGATATTTGCGCGTTACGGTTTTGCAACCTGTAATATGTCAAGTTTGACATTTTCCTAGTAAATTATATACCGGTAGGTATACGCGTTTTATACGTTGAATTTTCAATACTCGAAAGAGGTAGAGCTTTTGGAAAAAATAGGTAAATTTTTAATGCATTACATTTTGCATACACGACTGTGAAATACCAAGTTCCAACAGTCGATAAATCACGAACAATCGAAAAATCAAATAGCCAAACATCCATAATAAAATTTTGTCATCGCGCTGGTTTCTTTATCGTCCTACTTCGTTGATACGCGCGTGTTACGTAATTCCTATCAGCTGACGAAATATTTCTAATTTCTAACTTACTTTTTCCTCTTATCTCTCACGATTAACGATACAAAAACAAGCGATGCGACTCGTATTCGAGACTCCACGGATTTCTAGCCTTTTTTGTATCGAAAGTTTCGCGCGGTTTGTTATTCGAAACTTGTCGCTTCATTATAAAACGTCGCCGTTAAAAGTCACGAAAATGTTCACGCGTCTGGCTTTCGATTCGATGGATAAATTACCGGTGAAATTGTCGTCCGATGCTCGTCGATGGCGTCTGTTAAACGCATGGACAAATGTCGCTCGTAAATCGGCGTTAGTACCTAGTAACGTTACTCCAGATGCAGTGCTTTCTCTTCGAACGCGAGTGTCGCGCATTACAGTCAACATGATGAATGTAATGACAATAAATTATTCCGGATATCGGCAGTAAAGCCGCTTTATCGCGAGGCAGTACGTAACCCTCGCGTCCATTAAGAAAGAAATCGACTTTGCTGGCCAGAAAATCGTTTCTTCTCCGAGCCTTTGTCCAGACAAATTGCCGTATCTCCAGATAACGGCGTTACATGTCTTTTCAACTTTGCGCAAAAATTCTTTCTTCCGAGTTTCAACTCGAAAGATTCTAATCAATAACAAAATCGATTTCGTATGCTTAGGCAATGAAATCTCTAAGTAGCGAAATAAGAAGAATTTAAGTTGATCATGTTCCTGCTAAAAGTTACAGTCAAATTTCTCTTCTCACTCTGGTAGAAAGAAATAGAATCTCCGTTTTGAAAGTTTTCTGTATCAAGAAAATTGAAGTTTTAGCGTACGCGCGAAAATTATTCGCAAGATAATCGCCATCGTACTTGGACGTTTCCGCTGTTTGAATTTTAAATCGCGGACACATTATCTCAGCGGCACTCTCGCTTTCTATCGTTATCGATAATCTTCGCGTGGAACCGCGGAACGTGTCGCTACGAATCTGTATCGGATGTTGTAAATGTAATCGACGCTTAGAGAGCGGATTACATGTTTAATTACAGACGCAAGCGGCGATATCGCGTAATCGTAAATAAAACGAGACTGATGGATAATCAAGCAGTCCATTCAGGGGTATGATTAATACTGTTATCTGTCGAGTAGCGTGTCGGTCGTTTTGCCGGCTTTATAAACCGATCTTAGATAAACGCTGGTTGCACATCGAAAGAGCTTCATTATTGTGTCGTGGCTGGATAATCTGTTGGTCGGTTGCTTCTCGTTTCGCCACTAGAAAGAATTTCGCTTCGATTCTTCGTGCAATTACCTGCTTCTTCCTGTTTCGCTAACGCATCAACCTCTGTGATTAACGACACGGTTTAAAGCGCGAGTGGGACGAACACGAGGAAAAATCGGCCGAACCGAGTGTTACGATCGGTATTCCGATGATTTTTACCCGAGGCCTAAACCCTTTCCATTAAGTCTCCTTTCACGAAGGATGCTTCGCTCCCGGGCAAGTTAAATTCTTAAAAAAGAGTAATTGCGTCCTTGGCCCTTGATTTATTCTGTTACCGTTGTTCTGCTCCGGCTCCTTTGCTATTTCTACGAGCAGCGTTGCACTTAAACGTTATCGACATTACCGAGGACGCTTCTTACACAAGTGGAATGGAAATTTTGTTCGTTCCTTTCATTGCGGTATGTGGAATGTTGACGAATGTTTCGCAATTCCCTATATTTGTTACGGCCACGCGTAGAAAGCTTGCTTAATCGGAATAACCGTAGGACGACAAGTGGAACACCAAATTCTGGCACTGCTTCGATTGTCATTTCCATACGTTTTTCGTTATCTATTCCAAATCTCCATAATTAATTTTATTTCCTTCGTCTCGACAACTCTATTAAATTCGTAAACTTTTTACACGGAGAACGAGATTTTATAGGCTTCTCAGATTACGATCGCAGTGCTTCGGTACCCCCGTCCAGTTCCTCGATATAGTCTCGAGTAATTACCTCCATAAACACAGAAACCTTAGCCAATAAAAATAAGAGGCAATCCAACCATAGCCATAACAAAATTCTATTTTTTTTTCCTTCTTCTTCTTCTTCTTCTAAAGTCTCCGTCGTCCGTTTCATCGTCAATATCGCAAATCTGTCTAACTACGGAAAGTCAACGTATATCGAGGAACAAATAGACGAGAGATGGTCGTGGAGTGAATCGCCGCGTTGATCACGAGCACAGACTATGTTTATACGCGTGTTCGTGAGCGCGTAGGTGCGTAGGTATATCGTAGATTACGCGTGGCGCATGAACGACCTCGGTGCACGGTTCGTTAGCAAGGATCGCCCTCCTCTTCTACCTCGGCGACGTTGACCCGACGTGGGCGCGGGCCACGCGTCGCTAATGACGAGCAATCAGCCGCGAACTCGATGCAAATCCGGCGTCCAAAGGGCAGTCGGAGAAAGTGATTAGAGGATTGGCTCGTTGCGTTGCCTGGAGCCTGTTCTTTTCCAGAATGTTGAGATCGTCGAGGAGATCGTATAGGAACGTCGAGTTAGCAATAGAGAAGTTGATTTTACGCCATCGAGGATGACATTTAAGTAAGGATCGCGCGTAAAGGAAGGAGAGCCCGTATTTAATCTGTCGGATTTTTTATCGTTATTTTTTCAAACTTCAATAGCTTGGAAAAGTACGGTGAGCTCCACTTGGAAATTCTAATATGGCTTAGAAGAAAAGCAATTTCGTACAAGGCTACGTGGTTGCGGAACTTTAGTGCGAATAGCTGATTCGTCACACGTGGCGTTATTTTTATCGTCTGCGTTAAAAGAAAAATATGGGTCAGTCGCTGGAAGAAATAATTCTATAGTAATCGTTGGTACTTCCCAGAGACTGAACGATTCTCCTGAACGATCCGTTTTGCTCCTAAATCGTAATTCTCGAAAAGCAAGGTATAAAGATGAAATGAAAATTCCAGAAGCAACTTTCTCGAGCTATTTTCAACGCCAACCTGTCAGAACCGAGCTCGATGCCTGGCGAAAATTGCACGTAATACGCGAGTGACGAAGAAAGTCGGTGTGCTCCGATCGAGAGGAAGTTGGAATCGCCTCACCTTCGTAGGTTCTGGTTTTATCTTCGCCGGCCCCTACCAACGCCGCCTCCTGAACCTCCACCACCTTCTCCGAGGTCCGCCCACAACGCGTGCTCCTTCGTTCCCTTCGCTCCATCCCCGCGAACTCCCACGCCACGTGCTCGTTCTTCTCGCTGATCTGCTCCTTTTGGTCCACCAGGAAGCCTCGGATCCACCATCCATCACGGGCAACTATCGCGACTAACGAGTCCGCTCTTCATTCACGACCTCCGGTGCAAAACGGGCTCGCCACGGGTTCAAGGGTCGTGTTTCATTTGGCGAACGATTATGGGCTACTTCGACCAACGAGCGAGCGAACGAGCCTCGTTTTCCAGTAACAATGCCTGTAAATAATGAGACCGTTCCGTGGAAACTGTTAATGGGATTCTTGAATGGTGTTTGGAGGTTCGTGTTAACCCTTCGGCAGTGTAATAAAGTGACGAAGAATTCAGGAAGTAATTATCTCTTTATCTTCGAAATACTGCTAACGGGTTAAACACCGTAAAACCACTGTTAGACGTTATTGAGAGGAATGGCGAAATTTAGAGATTAGTTTTAGAAGTTTTAGTAAGTCGAGCACGTCACCCTTGAGTTTATAGTGTGCTACCTATTCGATGTCTTGATTCAACTGTACTTTAATCGGGAATCGAAAAAAGCGTCTAAAATTTCTAACAGTCTGATCGACGTAAGAAACAGGATAAAAACTTGAAACAACCAGAACCAGGACTGGTATCCGTAGACTTGGAACATCAACCTCTTTTTCTTCGATTCCAATTACCGCAATTATAGCACTTGAGTCACGCTTCGACGCGAATTGATTTACCCTAGAATTCTACGACTCGTTGTTGCACAACCTACAAAAACGGCAAAGTTCACGTATTTTTTCCCCTCTATCCCCCCTCTCTCTCTCTCTCTCTCTCTCTCTCTCTCTCTCTCTGTCATACTTGTCGACAGAAAGGAAGGTTGTCTCGGTAGCAACGTTATTTTGCATGACTTCTTTCTTTCGGAATTCCTTAGTTTTTCACGCTGTAGATTGTTACGTTACGCCTATAGTAACTGTATAGGCTCGTGAGTCATAGTTTAAAGGATAAAGAATGATCGGCGCAGCGGTGGTGCGATTTATTTCTTCATGGTCAAGCGGTATAGAGAAATGCGCGAACAGTTTGTTTCACGCTTCGGCCAGTTCGCCCGGTGAAGTCGGAATGCTGGGCGAACAGGACATTTTTTATGAGCAGAATACATCGAGGAACGTTCGAAACGCGCTTTCTACTTTCTAAAGCTTCCTAGTATTTCGATTTTATGGAACGAGTTATCCGGTTTCATTGCTGTTAGTTAGGATGAAAATAAAAATATATCCGAGATAAAATAAACAATTGTAGTCGAGAGCTACGAGCATCTCGTCGTATCTTTTCGCGTCCATTTTATCACTTTAATGAAATCGATCGAAGCGTTTTATCGTCTATTATTGTATCATTCGACCGTAGTCGAATTAAGTCAATTAACCACGGCAACATTCCAATTTATTTCTTTATTCGTTGAAACCGCAAGAAATATCAAATCATCCGAAACCACGTCAAACAATCTTCCATATACGTTGGATCCGCGCTCATAAAACAAATCACCCATCGCTACGGAACATTATCGATACCTAGCAGCACTTCCACAAAATCGCCCTCGAATATCTCCAATTTCGTTCCATCGACTGGCTCCGTTTCGCAAACACGTTCCGCGCGTTTAGCGCAGGAAAACGGCTGCCACCGTTTACCGCGAAAGAGTCGCCCCGACTTAAAATACCGAGCAATTCCCAATCGAATTGCCTGCGGATAGTGATGGGAGCGAGTTCCATGTGAATTCACGAAGCATAGGTGCGATCTACACGGGTTTCGTTCGTTTTCCTAGCTTGCCAATCTATCGATAATCTACTATATTATTTTATTTATATTTCATTTAATTTAGTTTGATCTACTGTAACGTTATTTTGCTTCTGCGGTTCGTCAATTTATTATCTTAAGATTCTACTACACGCGCCTGCAACTCCTCGGCTCACGTTCTTTCGAAAATATTTCCGAAAAATTCCAATCTGCTTGAAAGTTTCATTTCGTTGGCCAAAAATGTTGCGATCGAATTCGAAGCTACTTGACGCTCACTTATTCCCATCGCTGGCGATCGATTCGAGCTGGTCGCGGATCATTCTAGCAAACCGCACGATTCCAGAAAACATCTAATCCAGCGGATAGGAGGTGGCATTACGGCGTGTTGCGCTAACGCGAAAAACAGTAGCCCCGTTCTGCATGCGGGGAAGGATCGGCACGCCTCGTCTGCGAGGCGAGTGCAGGCCGCCAGTCTGCAAA